ATGGCTAGTTTGTTGAGAAAAAAAAAAAAGTAATAATATTAAGGTGCTTGGACATCCAGCAGTCATGTGTGAGCTTGTTAGATACAAGTGAATGGAGGCAAATGGTTTTTGAAACCTGATGTGCTTTTGAAGTGTGAGCAGGGTAACATTTTATGAAGGGATTCAGTGAGTCTTATTAGCTGGACTTAGTCCTGGAGGTGGGAAGTACAGTGCCTGCACTCTAAAGGAGGGGCTAGAGATATTTGAGAGACATTCGAACTGTCTTATCTGTGTGCCTCTGGCAAGACAGTATTAGTGTGAATGATGGTGATGGTGTGTCTTTTTTGGGTCGCCCTGCCTCAATGAATCTCTGGAGACAAGAAACGTTATCCATTGGGGCAAAGAAGGGAATGTACAAGAATGTTTTGGTATCAACACATTTATATGGGTGTGAAGCATGGGTTGTGAGTTATGCATCGAGGAGGAGGCTGGAGGCAGTAGAGATGTCGTGTCTAAGGGAAATGTGTGGTGTAAATATTGTGCAGATAATTTGTAGTGTGAAAATTTAGAGAAAGTGTGGAGAGCTGAAGAGGGTTTGTTGAGGTGGTTTGGTCATTTAGAGAGAATGGAACAAACTAGAATGACTTGGAGAGCATATAAATCTACTAGAATGACTTGGAGAGCATATAAATCTGTAGGGGAAGGAAGGTGGGGGTAGGGGTTGTCCACAAAAAGGCTGGTGGGAGGGGGTAAAGGAGGTTTTGTGGGTGAGGGGCTTGGACTTCCAGCAAGCATGCGTGAACGTGTTAGATGAATGGTGACAAATGGTTTTTGGGACCTAACAAGCTGTTGGAGTGTGAGGAGGATAATATTTTGTGAAGGGATTCAGGGAAACCAGTTAGCCGGACTTGAATGCTGGAAATGAGAAGTACAATGCCTGCACTTTAAAGGAGGGGTTTGGGATATTGGCAGTTTAGAGGGACATCTAAACTGTCGTATCTGAGTGCCTCTGCAAAGACAGTGATTACGTATGATTAATGATGAAAGTGTTAAATGAAGATGAAAGTTTTTTCTTTCTTTTTGGATTTTTCTTTCTTTTTGGGCCACCCTGCCTTAGTGGGAAATGGCTGACGTGTTAAAAAAAATGCATGTGTAGTGTAACCTAAATGTAAGTAGAAGTAGCAAGACTTACCTAAAATCTATATATCAAATTATATACCAGATAGGTAGTAGGTTGGTAGACAGCAACCACCCAGGGAGGTACTACCATCCTGCCAAGTGAGTGTAAAACGAAAGCCTGTAATTGTTTTACATGATGGTTGGATTGCTGGTGTCTTTTGTCTGTCTCATAAATATGCAAGATTACAGGTATATCTTGCTACTTCTACTTACACTTTGGTCACACTACACATACATGTACACATTTATTTATACATACTCATCTGAGTTTTCTTTGATTTTATCTTAATAGTTCTTGGTCTTATTACTTTTCCTTTTATATCCATGGGGAAGTGGAATAAGAATCTTTCCTCCGTAAGCCATGCGTGTTGCAAAAGTCAGCTAAAATTCCGGGAACAATGGGCTAGTAACCCCTTTTCCTGTAAAGATTACTGAAAAGAATAAGAAGAAAATTGTCAGTGGGAAGTCTGAATGTGTGTGGATGTTGTGCAAATGATAAGAATGAGATAATTGTGGATGTTATGAATCAGAAGAAGCTGGATGTCCTGGCTTTAAGTGAAACAAAGCTGAAGGGGGTGGGAGAGTTTCAGTGGAGAGGAATAAATGGGATTAGATCAGGGGTTTCAAATAGAGTTAGAGCTAAAGGAGGAGTAGCAATAATGTTGAAAGATAACATATGGCAGGAAAAGAGGGACTAAAATGTATTAATTCAAGGATTATGTGGAGTAAAATAAAGGTTGGATGTGAAAAGTGGGTTATAGTAAGCATATATGCACCTGGAGAAGAGAGAAGTGTAGGAGAGAGAGAGAGAGAGATTTTGGGAAATGTTGAGTGAATGCATGGGGAGTTTTGAACCAAATGTGAGTACTTGTGGTTGGGGATTTCAATGCTAAAGTGGGTAAAAATGTTGTGGAGGGAGTAGTAGGTAAATTTGGGGTGCCAGGGGTAAATGTAAATGGGGAGCCTTTAATTGAGCTATGTGTAGAAAGAGATTTGGTAATAAGTAATACATATTTTATGAAAAAGAGGATAAATATATATACAAGGTATGATGTAGCACGTAATGAAAGTAATTTGTTAGATTATGTATTGGTGGATAAAAGGTTGATGGGTAGGCTCCAGGATGTACTTGTTTATAGAGGGGCAACTGATATAGCGGATCATTATTTAGTTGTAGCTACAGTTAGAGTAAGAAGTAGATGGGTCAAGAGGAAGGTGGCAACAACAAGTACGAGGGAAGTGAAAGTGTATAAACTAATGGAGGAGGAAGTTTGGGTGAGATACATAAGCGACTATTGGCAGAAAGGTGGGCTAGTGCAAAGATGAGTAGTGGGGGGTTGAAGAGGGTTGGAATAGTTTTAAAAATGCAGTATTAGAATGTGGGGCAGAAGTTTGTGGTTATAGGAGGGTGGGGGCAGGAGGAAACAGGAGTGATTGGTGGAATGATGAAGTAAAGGGTGTGATAAAAGAGAAAAAGTTAGCTTGTGAGAGGTTTTTACAAAGCAGAAGTGTTATAAGAAGAGTAGAGTATATGGAGATTAAAAGAAAGGTGAAGAGAGTGGTGAGAGAGTGCAAAAGGAGAGCAGATGATAAAATTGGAGAGGCACTGTCAAGAAATTTTAATGAAAATAAGAAAAAAATTTTTGAGTGAGTTAAACAAGTTAAGAAAGCCTAGGGAAAGTATGGATTTGTCAGTTAAAAACAGAGTAAGGAGTTAATAGATGGGGAGATGGAGGCATTAGGTAGATGGCAAGAATATTTTGAGGAACTTTTAAATGTTGAGGAAGAAAGGGAGGCGGTAATTTCATGCACTGGCCAGGGAGGTATACCATCTTTTAGGAGTGAAGAAGAGCAGAATGTAAGTGTGGGGGAGGTACGTGAGGCATTACGTAGAATGAAAGGGGGTAAAGCAGCTGGAACTGATGGGATCATGACAGAAATGTTAAAAGCAGGGGGGGATATAGTATTGGAGTGGTTGGTACTTTTGTTTAATAAATGTATGAAAGATGGGAAGGTACCTAGGGATTGGCAGAGAGCATGTATAGTCCCTTTATATAAAGGGAAAGGGGACAAAAGAGATTGTAAAAATTATAGAGGAATAAGCTTACTGAGTATACCAGGAAAAGTGTACGGTAGGGTTATAATTGAAAGAATTAGAGGTAAGACAGAATTTAGGATTGCAGATGAGCAAGGAGGTTTCAGAGTGGGTAGGGGATGTGTCGATCAAGTGTTTACATTGAAGCATATATGTGAACAGTATTTAGATAAAGGTAGGGAAGTTTTTATTGCATTTATGGATTTAGAAAAGGCAGATGATAGAGTGGATAGGGGAGCAATGTGGCAGATGTCACAAGTATTTGGAATAGGTGGTAAGTTACTAAATGCTGTAAAGAGTTTTTATGAGGGTAGTGAGGCTCAGGTTAGGGTGTGTAGAAGAGAGGGAGACTACTTCTTGGTAAAAGTAGGTCTTAGACAGGGATGTGTAATGTCACTATGATTGTTTAATATATTTATAGATGGGGTTGTAAAAGAAGTAAATGCTAGAGTGTTCGGGAGAGGGGTGGAATTAAATTATGGGGAATCAAATACAAAATGGGAATTGACAGTTACTTTTTGCTGATGATACTGTGCTTATGGGAGATTCTAAAGAAAAATTGCAAAGGTTAGTGGATGAGTTTGGGAGTGTGTGTAAAGGTAGAAAGTTGAAAGTGAACATAGAAAAGAGTAAGGTGATGAGGGTATCAAATGATTCAGATAAAGAAAAATTGGATATCAAATTGGGGAGGAGGAGTATGGAAGAAGTGAATGTTTTCAGATACTTGGGAGTTGACATGTCGGCGGATGGATTTATGAAGGTTGAGGTTAATCATAGAATTGATGAGGGAAAAAAGGTGAGTGGTGCATTGAGGTATATGTGGAGTCAAAAAACGTTATCTGTGGAGGCAAAGAAGGGAATGTATGAAAGTATAGTAGTACCAACACTCTTATATGGGTGTGAAGCTTGGGTTGTGAATGCAGCAGCGAGGAGGCGGTTGGAGGCAGTGGAGATGTCCTGTCTAAGGGCAATGTGTGGTGTAAATATTATGCAGAAAATTCGGAGTGTGGAAATTAGGAGGAGGTGTGGAGTTAATAAAAGTATTAGTCAGAGGGCTGAAGATGGGTTGTTGAGGTGGTTTGGTCATTTAGAGAGAATGGATCAAAGTAGAATGACATGGAGAGCATATAAATCTGTAGGAGAAGGAAGGCGGGGTAGGGGTCGTCCTCGAAAAGGTTGGAAGGAAGGGGTAAGGGAGGTTTTGTGGGCGAGAGGCTTGGACTTCCAGTATGCGTGCGTGAGCGTGTTTGATAGGAGTGAATGGAGACGAATGGTATTTGGGACCTGACGATCTGTTGGAGTGTGAGCAGGGTAATATTTAGTGAAGGGATTCAGGGAAACCAGTTATTTTTATATAGCCGGACTTGAGTCCTGGAAATGAGAAATACAATGCCTACACTCTAAAGGAGGGGTTTCGGGGTATTAGCAGTTTGGAGGGATATGTTGTGTATCTTTATACGTATATGCTTCTAAACTGTTGTGTTCTGAGCACCTCTGCAAAAACAGTGATTATGTGTGAGTGAGGTGAAAGTGTTGAATGATGATGAAAGTATTTTCTTTTTGGGGATTTTCTTTTTGGGTCACCCTGCCTCGGTGGGAGATGGCCGACTTGTTGAAAAAAAAAAAATACTAGATATTTTTATTGAATTTAATATGTTGACATAATTTAATATGTTGACATAAGTTAATGAAAAGCAGTAGTGGTTGGTTTGAGTCTGTGTATTGTATATTAAATGTTTTATTACAGGAAGGAGAGGTGTGTTTGGACAATCATGATGTTGCAGAGTCTTGGATGGAGAATGACCCAGATAGTGAAGTCAAAACAAAGTAAGCTTTCCTTCAATCTTAATATTTATTAGCTAAAATATACAGTTTAGAAATGCTAAATAGTTTTCTGCTTTGAAGACTTAGTAGCAGTGAGGGCCATTATATTGTACATGTAACAAACACATTTCTGCATTACAAGTAATGAGATAAGTCTAGTGAGAGGAATACCTACCAAGTTTGCAAGTGATCTATTAAGAATGTATAGTTTTTTGTATTATTACAGTACTTAATAGAACAATTGCACATCAGTTGATGCTAGAGTAGTGCATGTCTGTTTATTAACTTTCATATAATTATTTACAAGCAGAGAGACATGCTTATACTTTTTAAGTCATTTCAACACGTGCCCAAATAATAGTTGATATGATTTTTTGCCTCTTGCTTATTTTAACTGATAGTTACCTGGAGACTAGCCTGCTTTATGTTATTTCAGTAGCTATATACATCACCAAGAATCTACTATATTAATTTTCATTTGTATTTTAATTTTGATTGAAAAATTTTCTTTTGTTACTATATGTTAGAAAAAAAAAATTTTTATTACACTATCTCAGGTAGGAAACCTCTCTTAGTTAGACTCGAATTTTTTGTATATACTTTCTAAATAATTTAACAGCAGAGTAATGAATTATTCTCTTTAATATCTGAAAAATCCTGTGTTATAATCTTATATTCTACACATATCTTTGGTTATTGATAATATTTAAAAAAATTTAGTACATGTCTTAGTTTCAGGTACAGTGCAGGTAGTTAAAAGTGCAGGCACAGAAAGCTTTTTGTCTGTTGCATTTTTGTGTATTTGTTGCTTTCCTAATTTTTAATATTGTATCTCAAAAATACATACCTAGTGAATTCATGAATATATGGTCAACTTCAGTATTACTGTTATTTTTATTCACATTTTCAGCTTGTAAGCTGTAGTATCTTAGTAAGCGTTAACTAGTTCATTTTTTCTAGGGGTTCTGTCAAGTTTTTTATATTTTCTTAATACCTCTTAATAATACCAGGTTTTCTTCCTGTTTGTAATGCATGTTCTCTGGGAGTACCATACAACTTCTGTAGGAGATATAAAATTTGTAGCGAATGAAAGTGAGAAAAATTCAACTCAGTAATGAGCTTTTATTATAGATAACTCTATTTGACAATGAACCTTATGTCTTGAGAAAGACTACTCTTGCTTGGTGTTTTCCAGAAATCTTTGTTGATAGCCTCTGTATTATATCTTCAGTCCTTTAGTAAAAGTATATGGATTTTGTAAGATTTTCTTCAGTGGCAATAAGGCATTTCTTGTGATAGTGGGACACTTATACAATAGTGGACCGAGGGTGTACACACATGAGAAACAAGTTATCTTGAAGATGATGCATTTGCAGTTGTTACTATTTTGTATTCTTCGTAGCAGAGACAAGGCTCATGTAACATATGCATATATATTTTAGCACATTGGCTATTTCCCACCATAGTAAGGTGGCCCAAAGAAGGAAACATTCACCATCACACTTTCTGTAACCACCTTTCCAGAAGTACACAGACATCATAATTCAGATTATCTTAACCATTTTTCATTTTTCATATTTAAAGCACTAAAAATGTGCTTTAAATATGATAATTCTTAAAATAATTTCCTACTGTGTCTAATATGAATTAGGAATTTGATCTTGCATGTACCTCAATCCTATTTACAGTTTGTTTCAGCAAGGGCAAAGACTCTCACTCACTTTTAGTGGGTCAGAATTATTTTTTATGAGTTAACTCAGTGTCTGGTGCTGTGATCACACTTGAGATAAAAAGAAAATATAGTATATATATATATCTGTTTCTCAGGATGTTTGGTTACACTGGATTTAGTTAGTTTTGCAGAAAGTAGATTAACTATAAAAACCCAGGAATATGAGAGGAACTAAACTTGAAATTAAAGCTATAAGAGGAAAGATGGATTTTTTTGTCAGGGGGAAATTTCAGGGAAGTACAGATTGGAGAATTTGGTGCCTTTGATTGCAGTACTGTGAGATCAAATGGTAGTCCCATATTCTAGACTTTTAATGTTAGAAGTGTTACATACAGAACATTGTTTAATTTTAAGTTTATGGCATAAACTAAACTAATACTAATGAAAAAAATGAAATTTTGTTATTTTTGAGTGCCTGTTTCTTCAAAAAAAAAATTCACAAGCACTCTCACTCATTGCCATAAATGCAACAACAGTGATGAAGAAGAAATAGTTTATATTTAAGAGTGACAGTATAATCATCGGGATCATAAGCTGTAGAAAAGAGATGTGCTTTCAACTGAACTTGAAAGCATGAACAAATTCCTGACTCTTAACAGACACTGGCATCCTGTTGAACAGTCTAGGAACTACATAAGACTCTGCGAAAGATTTTACCAGCAGCATAAAGCTTAGTCTGCCTGTCTATACATGGGTTTGTAACAATTAACAGAAACATTCCTGAGTCTTTTGTAAAAGGTACAAGCATGTCAGCAAAATATTTGGGTTCATTAACCCTTTCAGGGTCCAGAGGCCAAATTTCAAAGTGCGCACCAGGGCCCAAGAATTTTCAAAAAAAAAAATTTGTTATTTTTTTCTTATGAAATAGTAGAGAATCTTTTTCTGAAGGTAATAAAACAAAAAGTACGAAATTTGATGGAAAATTGATGAAATTATGCTCTCGCGAATTTTGATCGTCAGCGATATTTACGAATCGGCGATTTTGCCGACTTTGACTCCCATTGTAGGCCAATTACATTATTCCATTCGACCAAATTCTTAGCTATTCACTAGTATTACTTCTATCAATTGAGCACAAGAAATCGCCAAGTCAACTGTTTCAGCTACAAAATAAAGTGATCGGAAATTGGTAATTTGGCCAATTTAACACAAAGTTCAAAATATTCCAGTTTCAAAATAGGGTCCAGAATAAACAGTGTAGATATTCCTGGCACTAAACTAACATTTCCTCTGTTCATTAGTTATGTTTTGAGGCTTTACAAATGAATTCCATTTTGATTTTTTATTCACATAATTTTTATTCAAAACTAAAAAATAGAAGATTTACTGTTATGCAATATTTTAATATCATCACCACATTTGTGAATGTATATTAGACCCACTAGCTGGCGTGTATTAGACGTGTGAGGTCGTTTGTTTACTATTGAACATCGGCAAAAATTTAACATTTCCACTACTTTGAGCTCAGTTTCAAGTCATTTCCAGTGTTAAAACCAATCAAAATCATCTCTCTTTCTGTAATATGTCTTTCATTCTATCAAATGAGACCAAGAAATCACAAATACAACTATAAAAAAACATACGAAAAAGCACTGCAAAGTTGCTGTTTTAATCGAAAATCACGGTCTTGGTTTTTTTTTCTCTCATTATACAGTGTGCTGCAGGATTTGTTTTATGTGGTGCACACATACCACATAGATGTATTCTCTCATATCTAGGCCCAAATTTACCACTCACAGCTTATCAGAGTGAGCTGAGCTCATGGCGTAGATCTACGGTTTGGACCCTGAACGTAAAGCCGTATATCTACGGCACAGACCCTGAAAGGGTTAAACTTAATCATTTTAAATGTTAATAAATAGCATCTAATGTTAATCCTTGCTTTAATAGAGAACCAGTACAGCTCATACAAGTAGGGACCAGTGGGAACCCCAGTTGAGGGCGAAAATAACAGTCTAACCTCACGATTCAGGAAACAAACACGTGGGTAAGGACGGATAAGATACTCTGTGTATCAAGATATTTTCTGACTACATAGAGATTGCAAATATGAAACTTGCCAGATTTAACAATGAAGAATCCAAGTGGATAGCCCATATCCTTTGCTGATCCCATGGCTGCATACTAACAATACCACAGTCAAAGGCACCAAATTCTTCAGTCTCTACTTCCCCAAGATTTTCCCTGATAGTTAGAATCTCTTGTCTTATCCTCATAGTTTTTTTTTTTTTTTTTTTTTGTCATCCTGCAAAAGACAACTAAAACAAAGTTTTACATCTTTCACAGTTAGAACTCAGATGTAGACTTGTGTATCATTAACATGATAATCCCCAAGTGCATCCAACAGTAAAGGTAAGCCACTAACATAAACAGTGAACAGTGGCCCAAGAATAGAGCTATGAGGAATACCATAGGGCTTAGCAGATGGCTTAGATACAGAATCATCGACTACTATTTGATATGACCGATCAGAAAGATACAATTTCGGAAGTGACAAGGCAATATCCCAAAAGCCACAGCCAGAAAGATCACTTGTCAGTAATTCATGATATATGGTATCAAGTGCAGCATAGAGTCCAAACAAAATAAAATAACAAACATTCTCTCAGTGATGATTCAAACTCTTGACAGTTACACTGCCACCCTGCTATGAATACCATCCCACCAATATATATATCTTGGTTGTATACTTATGAAATAAGGGAAGTGATAGCATAGTTTATCAACCTTTGCAGTCAGTTGAAGTTGACCAGAAATTACAGAAAAACTCAGGTTATGTAACTAAAAATTTCTGTGCCTGCACGGAAGGATAGAGAAAAATTAAACAGTATTTTTCTGTATATAATTCCATTTTCAAAAATTATCTCAGGACAAATACACTTTAAGAATGGGAACAGATATGCCTCTTTCAATAAGTGTAAATGCTCAACAGTTTTTTAATAGATTTATTTTAATAGTATTTGTCTATTCATTCGTTTATTTATTTATTACTGTTGTACATATTGTATATAATTTTTTCATTATTGTCTTTTAGAAGGTACTACTTTGTTTAGTTTGCATTTTAAATAGCTCCCTTATTTAATGATAGTTTTGATTGCCATTGTCATGTATTACATGAACCCTGAAGCAAATACTCGAGCACAGTAGCTTGGTAGATGGTGTAGTAGCTTGAAGCTTGTTTAGTGAATGATAAAAGATTAAGACTAACCTGTGTTAAGAGTGTACATCTGCTTGCTGAGTCCCACAGTAGTAACTTCCTCATTAAAGGAGA